TAATTATGTAAAAAGTTGAAAATATAAAACAATTGATACTTTTATGTGTTTCTATTAGGGTCATTTATTAGAACACACTTTTAGGGATGGCAATTTTCCCCATCCCCGACGGGGGCCCAACTTCCCCGACCCGCTGAGGATTGTTTTGGCGGGGCAGAGGCAGGGATGGGGATTAATAGGAATCTCGTGTTGAGGTCGAGGTCGGGGTCGAGGATGGGGATTGAGTTCCCCGCCCCACGTAGACCTCGACCCCAATTTTAAATAAATTAATTTTAAAAAAATACTATTATCTGAAAACATTTTGATGTTTTAGGTCCCTACGGGGAACCCATCCCTGTCAGGGATTAGGGATGGGGGTTATTTCAGAATTGGTGTCGGGGACAAGGAATATGATCCCCACCCTGTTGCCATTCCTACACACCTTATAGTTTTACATATTTAATTAAACATACTTTATAGTTTTCATTTTACTAAAGCATCCCATATATTTTACAGCTTATTTACTAACATTTCATTAAGAAGTGTTTGTTTTGCCATAATGCCCATGATTTTTTATTCCAAAAATACCCCAAAAACTTTTTTTTTGTATAACAAACAAAATTGACCAAATATAGCCAATAGAGTGGTTACCTCTGTCTTATTAAGGGAAAATGGTAATTTTATTTTTATTTTCTTTTGATTAAATTTATTAAAACGAACATTAGGATCAACATTGTCATTTTCCACTATCATTTAATGGAAGATTGATTAAATCAATTGCAAATTATAAATTGGTATTTTGAAATGAAAAGATGTAATTTGAAATTGTATTTAAAATGCGTTAAATAATTATTGAAAATTATTAGAATATTTTGGAAATTTTAGGAAAATTTATTACATTTTATAGATTTTGGAAAACCATTGAAAAATTATATATTTTCATTGCAAATTGTTGAAAATTATTAAATTTAAATGACTATGGAAAATGGAAAACTATAATTTGAATGAATAATTACACAAATTATTAAGATAAACTTGTATAATATTGGAAAGGGAAATTGTTGGTTAGTTTATATTTGAAATTATAAGATAAATTAGTATAATTATGTAAGTAAACCATTTAAAAAGAAAATAAATTACTTAATAAAAATTTTAAATAAATTTGAATAAAATTTCGAAATTACACAAGTACAATAAATTCTTCAAATTTTTCATAAAATTGCATTTTTGAATATTAAAGACAATTAGTGTACTTTTAGAAATTTACCATGTGGTTGATACTCGATATATCCTTTTGATCATTTATATCATCAAATTGAATATTGAGTTGATGGAGATAATGTTTTCAAAACTGGACCAAACCAAATTGTTAGACAGAAAAATTGGGAACCTGACACTATTTCACCTCAAAACCGCTTTTTGTCTAAAAACCGTTTATTTGGTTAGTGAACTGCTGACTTGGGCAGTCGAGCCATCAACCCGAACAACAGTTTTTGGCGTTTTTTTGTTTTCGTTTTTGTTTTTGTTAGAGCGGGTCATCTATTCGGATTGAACAGTCTGATCGTTTGACCCCATAACGGTTATGATGCATCGATTTTTATTGATGTATCGATTTTTTGGCTAAGTACCTCGTCATTTGGTCTACTTCCAAGTGGCTGATGACTCAGGCCGAAGTGGAGAACTTTGGCTGCCGAGCTGAGTCAAGTTGGGCAGGCTAGGTGGCGAGCTGCTTATGAGGTGCCGAGTTGACCAGGTGCCGAGCTACCTGTGAGATGTTGGGCTGACTTAGTGTCGAGCTGCATGTGAGGTGTCGGGTTGCCTGTGAGGTGCCGAGCTGAATTGATGAGCTTCGTTGCTCTTTGACTTGCAAGGAACCAAATGTCAGAGGACCTGGGGTGGCTAACCCAGCGAGGTCGCTCCGATGGTTAAGTCAGTACTCTTATAGTAGACTGCGAGCTAAAAATCACAGTATGAGAGCTAGAATTTGCTTACTTGCTTATTTGCCTCCCTGCTGTCATTGGGGTTGGTGCCTTTATATAGGCCTTGCTCACGTACCGCTCCCGAGATCTCCGGGAGGTCGTGTCTAACTGGTCCAAGATCCTTGGAGGTAAATGCCATGCACGTTGACCATCTTCCGGAATGAGGACCAACCTCCAAGGATCGTGGGGTATGCATGCAGAATTTGTCGGCGAGCACGTCTCGTAGGTCACCAGGTCGGCACCTGGGCCAGGCCGCCAGGTTGGACACCATCAACTTGGCAAGTTGTTGCCTGAGTGGTTCCGAGTGTCACTTAGTTGTTCTGAGGTGCCATGTGTCACAATGTCATTGAAGGGCCAAATCCGCCCTCATCATTTGCCCCCCACTCCCAAGCTGAAAGTAACTCGGCGAAGGGAGTAGATTTCTCCTTTTGGCCCGGAATGAATAATTCGATGAGCTCGTAAGCATCGATTCAATTCCTTAGGCTCTAGGAGCGACTCGCAGTCCACTCCTTGATTTTGCCCATGTCGAAGAGGCGACTGGATCTTATGTGGTGAGGAGGTCTTCGCTAGTTTGGTATTTTGGCCCTTAGGCTCTGGGAGCAAATCGTAGTCCACTCTCTTTGATCTTGCCCATGCCGAAGAGGCGACTAGGTCTTATGTGGTATTTTAGCCCTTGGGCTTTGGGAGCAACTCGTAGTCCACTCTCCTTGATTTTGCCCATGTCGAAGAGGCGACTGGGTCTTATGTGGTATTGAGGTCTTCGCCAACTCGGTACTTTAGTGCTATGGCTGCACTGCATCAGCCTCGTGACGCCGGTCACCCACTCCTACAATAAGCTATTAGGAGCTCGACCTACAGGGGCAGCACTATTGACTTTAGGTCGTTAGGTCGCACGGGAGCCTTGAAAGGCTCGACCAGCGAGGGCGTCCATGCAGTCTGTTGGCCGCCAACTCCCACAGAAGCCACGAAGAGCTCATCTTTGTAGAGGGGACCTCGCGAAGAGGACTGATGAGGCTTTATCCGATTCGAAATAAAGTTAGTAGAGCTGCTTGGTCTATTAGCTATCAACTTTCTGCATAGTCTTTGATTTCATAAAAGATGGAACTATAAAGCGAGAGCTTTAGTTTCTAAAAAGTGAGGACTTAGTTTTCTGGAAGAAGAGGATTTAGCCTTTTAGAGGATGAGAAAGCTTTTTGTAGCGTTTCCCCCAGACAACGCCAATTGATGCATCGATTTTTATTGATGTATCGATTTTTTGGCTAAGTACCTCGTCATTTGGTCTACTTCCAAGTGGCCGATGACTCAGGCCGAAGTGGAGAACTTTGGCTGCCGAGCTGAGTCAAGCTGGGCAGGCTAGGTGGCGAGCTGCCTGTGAGGTGCTGGGCCGACCTAGTGCCGAGCTGAATTGATGAGCTTCGTTGCTCTTTATAGACTTGCAAGGAACCAAATGTCAGAGGACCCGGGGTGGCTAACCCAACGAGATCGCTCTGATGCTTAAGTCAATACTCTCATAGTAGACTGTAAGCTAAAAATCACAGTATGAGAGCTAGAATTTGCTTACTTGCTTACTTGCCTCCCTGCTGTCATTGGGGTTGGTGCCTTTATATAAGCCTTGCTCACGTACTACCGTCGAGATCTCCAGGAGGTCGTGTCTAACTGGTCCAAGATCCTCGGAGGTAAATGCCATGCACGTTGACCATCTTCCGGAACGAGGGCCAACCTCCAAGGATCGTGGGGTATGCATGCCGAATTTGTCGACGAGCACATCTCGCAGGCCGCCAGGCCGCACCTGGGCCAGACCGCCAGGATCAACTTGGCAAGTTGTTGCCTGAGTGGTTCTGGGTGTCACCTAGTTGTTTTGAGGTGCCATGTGTCACAATGTCATTGGAGGGCCAAATCCGCCCTCATCCGGTGTGTGGCATGGCCTGGCCCATGGACTAGCCTGACCAATGGCACAACACGAGCCCATGCGGGCTCGAGCCGTGGGTCGTGCTAAACCAACCCCCCCAAATTATCCTAGAGGAAAGAGGCACAACCCGGGATGCCTTGTGAGCCAGCACAACACGACTCGCACTTTATGTGGGCCACATGCAGGTTGTGTCATGCCAACCCAGCAGGACCCAATTTACACCTTTACTTGAACCCATCCAATACTGGGGACGGGGCAGGGAAATTCAAGGATTCTCTATCCTTGATGAGGAGTTGGGTGTCTTGCCTCTGAACTCGCCTGACATTGAGGTGTGGTTACCTTGCCCTAAACCCACGCGACACTAGGGGGTTGGGGTGGGGATGGGGTAGAGTGTCTTGATTATGGGGCAGGGAAAGGGATGGGGTGCCCTGCCCTAAACTCACCCCGTTGTCATTCCTAATAATTGTTAATTATTAGTGAAATTTATAAAAATATTAGCTTTTATAATTATTTTGATTAATTTAAAATTAATCAAAATTTCATTTAAAAATAATAAAAAGTAAAAACTATTAAAATCACCACAAATTATTAATAAAACTAAATTTATTAAAAAATATTTGTTCATATTCAATTAATAATAATTATTTTTTATGAATCAACATTAAATGAAAAATAAAATTATTAAATTTTTCCGACTTTCTCATGCATCGTATGGGTCCCTATTATTGTGGATTAAAAGAAAAAAATTTGAAAAATTGAGAAAATCGGAAAGGGGTGGGGGAGAAAGGAGAGCCATGCTGACATGGACCATCCAATTTTAATATATATATATATATATATAAATTTTATATAATAATACATAAAATATTTTATAATACATTTTTTGCTATTAATAATATTATATAATATACATTATATTTTATTATAAAATACTTTTAGACCAGTCTCAGGCTCAGTTTCGAATCAGGCTTATTTGGGAAAGCCAGAGCTCGGCTCGTAAAATAGTCCGGCCCGGTGTTTTGGAGCCCAAACCTGATCCAGCGGGCTTAAAAAAAAAAGTTATCCAAGCCCGATATACGGATATAGAACAGACCGGGCCAGGCCAGCTTGTTGGACTACCTGGTCCATCAAGAGGTCTACGCATATTCAGTGCTTAAAGCAGGAAAAAAAGTGCAGAGATCGAGCACCTCGGTCCTCAGTTGGTTTCTTTGCGAGTTTGCATGCGCCGTGCGGGTAGGGTTCCTTTCTTGTTCTTCCACAATGCAACTGGGAAAATTTATAAGCAATAGTCAAGCAAGTTAAATACGGTAGGGTTCCTTTCGTGTGCGTGTACCGATTGATGGAAGTTGCAGAGATTTTTGAGTCCTACTAGAGGTCTTCTTATTCGTCTGCTCGTCTACAACAACGATGTCTACCTTGGAAATCGAAGCTCGAGAGTACGTTTTCTGCTTAAAATCTTCATTTACTTTTTAAATATGCTCAATGTGGGAGTTAAAGAAATTTTGGTTTTATGTTTGGTTCACCAACTGGCTTTCTCTGCAAGACTTTTAGTCGGTTTGGGAGTTAATGGCGGTAAATTCAAAACACGTTCAGGAAAAATATAACCAGAAGGGATAGGGCACACTCTATGCTACATAAATTTTGTGGCGGACAGAGTAAATAAGCGCATTCGTTTGTCATGTCATTCTTCCCTGCCCCCTTTTTCTCCTCCCTTATGAGTCCACCTCGTAGCAAGCATGCAAAATACCTTTTTTTTTCCTCTTCTAGTTTAAAAGAAAACAGCTTACGCCTGTAAATTAATCAAGACCTAATTTGTTGATTTGAATTGTTAAACTTTGATGGTAAAAGGTTAGTAGTTCATCTGTAATTCCTTGTTACTATTGAGAAAGTGCCTATAATAGCGAAATTGACGTATCATGCTTTTTGGTTAGGGCACATAGAGATAAAAGGGATTCAATAGCAGAACAACTGTCAATTGTTGTTTTTCATTGAAACACAGTGCTATAATTGCTCATTACTGTTAACTATTATTAATTTTGTTATCCAGCTATTCATATGAACACAGCGTTTTAGAAACTTTTGCTATGAATGACTGATGTGGGAATTTAGAAATGAACGTCCTTTCTTTTACTGATTTTGCAGTTTATGTTATGATTCTTTAGCATAGTCTTAATTTGTCAACCACTTTCTCTTAGCAATCTTAGTTTTATAGTTCATTAAATGCTATTGACTACTGTACATTTACATTTTCTGGTTTTTTGACAAATTGCTTATTTATTTTCACCCATTGAAGTTTTACATGGTTCAGTGATTTACATCATTTCCTTTGTGAGCTGTTTCGAAGCATATTTAAGGTGGAAAGAAGAGCTGGTCTAATGGAAATCATTTCTTGCAGTGTCATTAAGATTGTGCTTCAGTTTTGCAAAGAAAACTCCTTGCACCAAACATTTCAAACATTACAGAGTGAGTGCCAGGTCTCTTTGAATACAGTAGACAGCCTTGAAACATTTGTTGCTGACATCAATAGTGGAAGGTGGGATGCAATCTTGCCTCAAGTGGCACAGCTTAAGCTTCCTAGGAAGAAGCTGGAGGACTTGTATGAACAGGTATCTAAAACAAGACTTTCTGAATTAAAGATATCTGGATTGATCAAAAGTAAACATCTTGGTTATTGCCTGTTAATTTATGCTTCCATCATTGTATGGATACTGATGGCCTGGTGACTTGTTTTAATGCTTCTGAACTGAAAAAAATGTTTTGATGCTTCTAAGCTTGCTAAGTACTTATCATGTGAATTTTTAATATAGTCTTGATTCTTTGGAGATGCGCAAGGGCTGCAGTGTTGTGGCGTATTTGGGAAGAAAGAAATTTATGGATGTTTAGAGATAAGTTCAGGAAGTCATAGACACCATCACCATTAAAGTTGTACAGTGGGTTAAAACATTGAATATCTTTGCCTCCTTTTCCATTGATGATATATGTCGAAATTGGAAATCAGTGCTTGTTTTTTTCCACAGCAAAGAAGCCTTTACTTGCTGTTTGGATACCTCCTCCAGTGCCTTTTGTCAAGCTCAATTTTGATGGCTGCAGCCTTGGTAACCCATGGAGATCATGAATTGGAGGTGTGATCAGAAACAATTAAGGCATCATAATTGCAGTCTTCTTGGGCACAATAGGGGTTGGGTGAATATCAACAAGAGCAGAACCGTCATCAGCTTTGGAGGGACTTAGAAGAGTAAAGTTGCTGAACAACACAAGCATTATCTTTGAGAGTTGGGGGGGTGGATGGGATGTATATGAGAGGATGTGCAAGAAAAGCACAAAACAAAAGCCAAAAGCCACCCAGAATTACATAGGCATTGGCTTTGCACTATACAAAAAAACTCTCTCCACCCCTAATTTAGCCAAAAAATCAGCCTTGGAGTTCATCTCCCTTGGTATCCATATAAAAAAGCAAGAAAAGGAGGAGGATAAGTCTTAGATCTCATTAAGAAGATGGGCCAATCTTGGGCCCTTTTCTTTACGTACTGCCCAGCCAATAGCAATACTAGAGTCCCCTTCAACAACAAGAGACCTGACTTGGATCGATTTGACTATTCTCAAGCCAGTTAGAAGTGCCCTATCTTCAGCCTCAGATGCATCAGCAGAGGCAGCAAGCATACTAAGTGCCCAAATAATAGGACCAGCCCTGTTGAAATAAAGCTCCCTATACCAGCTGAGATTGGATGACCTGAGACTTATATATGTTGCATTTACTTATATGTACTTTAGACAAAGTAAAAAATAGATAGAGAAAATAGGTTGATATATTAGACATTTTCTAGATGATTGAGCAGGTAGAAACTATTATGCCATAAATTTGCTTTTTTTTTTGGGTGATGTCCATGCTCATGCTGAGAAGAGACAACAAAATAAGATATTTGTTTTCTAGATGATTGATCATGCAGTATTTATGATTGTGTGTGTGTGTGTGAGCAGACTTTATGGATGTAATATCAGTTATTTTGTTTTAATAAAAAATTCAACATGATCCAAATCATTTTTTTTGACAGTTGAAATGATTTATTAATTCATTAATCAAATGATAGGACTGAATCAAATGATAATTGAAATGATTTGATATGATCCAAATCAATTATGGATGGCTTGACTTCAAATAACAGAACCAAAGTTGCACGGGGTAAAGATCTACCCATTTTTTACTAATAATGGTCCAAGAATATGGTTAAAGGTATGATGAGGGATAAATAAAGCCTTAAAAAAGCCTGAGGATACCAACATAGGATATCACAACACCCACCCCTAAGGAATTCCCTTACCCCTGTAAATAAAACCACCAGATGCTTTTAAAAGAAAGTATGCTAATGTGTTCATCAAACACAACTTAAAATAGAGTATTCAATGTGACAAAATCCTATCTATTTAAGTGCTTAACTACAATGGATAATCTCCTTTAGGAATCCCACAAGTGCTTTGTGAAGATTACTGTTGATTGAAAGGGCTAAAGTTTTGACTCCAATCACCATGGTTAATTTGACTAGGAAAAATGTGTAGAGTTCTTGCACTATTGTCCCTTCAAAAAGCTCCCAAACCCAAAATTGAAGCAAAGAATTCTGCACCATATTCCAATTCCAATTCAAAAATGCTTAACTATTTGATCTTCTTCTTGGAGTTCTATTTTCATTGAAGATAATGTTATTTATTTATCCTTATATCGTCCATATTAGTGGTTCCAAACATATTCCAATTATAGATTATTCTTCTTTTGCCAAGGTGAGAGCCTTGCAGATGGCCAGTGAGCTCCATGATCTCCCATGGAGCCATGGAGGTATCTCCAAGGAACTGAAAGAACTTAACATTTATTTTTACAGGGAATTGTGAGTATAAAACTTGGACCCATCTTTCTCCCCCAAACAGCATGAAGGCAGTTTGATTGCACCTAAGTAGTTATGATCACTTTCAAGCTGAAATCTTCATAGTTCATCCTTGAGTCTTTCTTGTCTGTCAATTATTTTTCTTATTGATTAAGGAAAAACCCAATGGTTTCACAAAATTAGCTGACCGAGTTTGGTCCAATATTTCTGATCTTAGAATGAATTGTTTGCCCAGGAAGGTGTACTCCCTATTGAACACATACTTATACATGGGAAGCTATATATCTAATATCTTAAATATTTTCCATCTCTTAATGGAGAGAGATTCTAATTGTTATAGATTCCATTTTGACTGTTTTTGGGCATTAAGATCCTAATTGTTTAATGTGGCATGTTTTTTGATACATTGTTTAACCAATATTTCAAAATTTCAGATTGTTTTGGAAATGATTGAGCTTAGAGAGTTGGATACAGCACGTGCTATATTAAGGCAAACTCAAGCCATGGGTGTCATGAAACAGGAGCAGCCTGAAAGATATTTGCGGCTTGAGCATCTCCTAGTCCGTACTTACTTTGACCCACATGAGGTTAGCTTCCTTGTTTCAAGAAAAAGTCCCTTAACTTGCTCTTATTTATTTATTTATTTTTTTTGAGAAAAGGTCAAGTATTTTATTAATAGACAAAAGATCCCTGTACAACAAGAGGCTGTACATAGGGAATGTACAAAAACTGCCACAAGTATCGCTATACCCCCAACCCCTGTTTCTTTACAAAAAGATTGTCATGTACAAAAACCAATGCTTCTGCTTTTAAATATCCTGGCATTTTTTGCTTGCCATATGCACCAAAAAACCACTGCTAGAACCATACTCCAGGTCAGCTTCCCCCTTTTGCTTAGACCTCCTAACCTCCACTCCTTTACAAAATCCAGCACCAATTCTGGACAGCATCTCCTCACCTCAGACAGACCCCAAATTTTGGCTCAAATCTCATAAGAGAACCTGTAACGTAACAAGAGATGGTTCACTGACTTGATGTGATCTGCACATAGCACACAAGATGCAGAGTCCAGCAACATTCCTTTCTTCAACAGGTTATCCCTTGTAAGAATTTTATTCAAGTAGGCAGTCCAAACAAGGAAGGCTACCTTTGAGGGGACATTATTGCTCCAGTATTTCATTTTGCAGTTCCATGCTTATCTCATTGATTGTTTATTAGAGTGTCTTCCAATAGAATACTAGATCTCCATTGTCATTTATGAAATATGAGGGAAATAAGTTTCTGTTGATCATAAAAAAGAGTATAAGAAATTTCTTTGTATTTTCTTGTCTGCACTTCTGTGGGACATTGGGCCTGTTGACCAGTCTCTGCAGGTTTAACTGCAAATAAAATAGTTGGAAGAAAATTAAGGATTTTCTGGTTTTTTTTCCTGGGATTGGATTCAGGGTTTCTCTTGCAAGCGTGTCACATCAGCAGAGCTGTTTAATAGTGTGCCGGTAATTTTCTGACTTGTTTTTTAGTCAGCTCTTAGTATCTGCATATTTAAAGCAGACATTCATCGGAAAAAAAATGAGTGTTTGCTTTAAATATGCAGATACTAAGAGCTGACTAAAAGTCAAATCAGAAACTCATCGGAAATGGTCACATTGTTTTTGGATGACATTGTTTTAATTGATGAAACTAATGAAGGATTAAATGCAAAATTAAGCTTATGGACAAGTGCCTTAAAAAGAAGAGGTTTTAAAATAAGTAGGACTAAAACAGAGTATATGACATGTAAATTTAGTAATCATAGGAGTCTCAATCAAGACACACTTAGGATTGGGGACCAAGAGATAACTCAATGCGACCCGACCATTTCCAGTACCTTGGTTCAATAATTTATAACAAGGGAGAGATTGAGGAGGATGTCACACAAAAAATTAGAGCAGGATGGGCAAAATGGAGGGGTGCATCTGGACTTTTATGTGATAGGCGAATACCACTTAGATTAAGAGGAAAATTCTATAAAACACTTGTAAGGCCAGGTATGTTGTATGGAGTGGAGTGTTGGGCAGTCAATAAACATGTTCAGAAAATGAATGTGGCAGAAATGCAAATGCCAAGATGGACGAGTGGAACTTATAAGTAAGTTATCCATAGGAACTTAGGAGTAGGTCCAATAGGTGATAAAATGAGAGTAGACTAAGATGGTTTGGGCATGTGCATAGAAGACCATCAACTGTGCCAGTTAGAAAAAGTGATTTGTTACATATTGAAGAGGATAGAAGAGCTCTGGGTAGACCAAAAAGGACATGGGTAGAGAATAGTAAGAAATGATTCAAGCACTAACAATTTAACAGTGGACATGGCTTTAAATAGAACAGATTGGTGAAAGAGGATTCATGTAGCCAACCCCATATAGTTGGGATAAGGCATGGATGATGATGACTCATTGAAAAAAAACTATTGTTTGATTTTGTTTCTTCCTCTCCTTTAGCAGTGGGGATAGAGTTAATCTATATGCTTAGTTGTGGTAGATTACCCTTACGCAATCCACAAACTGTGATTCCTTGTATTGCTTGGTGGTTAAGTCTGACAAATTGACAGTTGGTAAAATGTATTCATACAACTTAGTTGAGAAGTTCTGTCTGACATCGTCTTCAGATCATGCTTTCTGCAATCCAGAAGTTGAAATTCCAGAAAAGTGGATTTGTTTCTATCATGGCTAAGCCATGTTGCCATACTGTGATACCTTTTGCGTTGTGTATTTTCATTCAGATTACTGAAACCCCTGTCCATTCTTCCTATTTGTGGCTCCTTGTCCAAGTTGGTTGCATTTTTTTGATAAGCAACAAAATTCATTTATTAAAGATAAATAAGATTGCAAAGTTACTGGATAGGTATCCAGGCACCCATATTTTCCGTAACAGAATTACAATTCAGCACAAAACAATTGGTAGCCATATAATCTGACATTCTGTTTGCTGATCTCCTAACCCAGTTGAAGGAAGCTCCCACTTCCTTGGCTAAAGACTGAATTTCCCTTATGGTCTACCTAAGCCCATGCTCCTGGGATACTGCTGCTCATTTGCTCAACCAAGAAATGACAACTTAGCATTTCTGTCTACCTCCAAAAGTTTGATTCCAAGAATCCAAGTTTCTTACCTATCCTAATCCTTGCAGAAGTGCCAATACTTCCACTTTAATAGAATCATTAGTTCCAATGGGGCCTGAAAACAAAGCTTTAATAGTACTCATTGAATCTCTAATTACACCTCCAATACATGCCGGTTCTGGGTTGCCTAGAGAGCTGCTATCAAAGTTTAACTTGTCCTTTGCCTTTGAAGATAGAGATACTTCTCCCCAAGCTCTCAAGATCTCATCCACATGGACTTCTTTGAATGCTTCCAATATTTTTACCCAGCATGTCCAGGTTGGTTGCATTGGCTTCTATAGTTTCTGTAGAGATTTCCAGTGCCCAGCAAGAGCAGTGTTAACCTTAGAACTGTAATTGTGAATGTCATTGAACTAATTGTCATTAATCTAAGGGCACACATATGGATTCTTTTGAAATTGATACATTATGTAACAGGCTTATCAAGATTCAACGAAGGAGAAGCGTCGTGCCCAAATTGCTCAAGGTTTGCTTATCTTGCTTGCTATGATGCTATTTATTTATTTGTTTGGTTATTTTCATCTATTTCTGATAATTGTTAACAACTATGAAACATTTGAAACCTTTATGTGCAACAAAAGTTTTATTTTGTTGCAAAAATTTAGATCTAATGGAGAAACACTCTTTAGCATACCTCCAAAGCTATTTCCACTCCATACATAAAAAAAAGCTATTTCCACTCCAGAGTTTACTGCCATCTACTTTGTTACTGTAATTTTCAACTTTCAAGAGCTCTGCCTCAAATTTTAATTCCAGATTTTCAGAACATGAAGGTTGAATTAGGTATAACTATATACATTTAAGCGGTACATGTATTTAACTATGTATATATTCGTGTGAATATTTCAATATTTTTTTAATGCAAACCTGTAGAGCTTTTACTGGATAGTTGATAACATTCTGATCTGTTACCTATATTTACCATGTTTTGTCAAGAATGATTATTCTCTTGCATTTTCAGCTCTTGCTGCTGAAGTTACTGTGGTGCCACCATCGCGATTAATGGCTTTGATTGGTCAGGCTCTAAAGTGGCAGCAGCATCAAGGTTACTGTTCTTCGGATCTGTCTGGATCAGGACATTTGTGATGGCCAGATGGGCATATGTACATAAGTTTGTCCATATTACATAGACACAGTTCTGTATGTTGACAAATCATCTTATTTATGAACTTTTCAGGTTTACTGCCCCCAGGAACACAGTTTGACTTGTTTCGAGGAACAGCTGCAATGAAACAGGATGAAGATGATATGTACCCAACAACTCTTGCACACACTATAAAGGCATGGTGTAGATGGATACACTAGAAAACGTGTTTCTTCTCATTTTCCATTGCTTAATGTTACAAAATTGTTTATTTGCTTGCTCTCTAATTGCTATGCATATGATAATATGTTATTTCAAAAGTGAGAAGATGGTTCATGCTTCTGTGTTACATTGTTTCTGTTGTTGCTAGCTGCTTGAATATCTTGTAGCCTATATATATTAATCAATATCAAAGGATATACTTTTCCTTGTTTGATTATGTGATGGTGTTGAGATGATATTATTAGGAGAGGTGCTTACTTGATTTTATGCATTGAATTGTTATATGAAGCCAAACATGTTTGAGAATTTTTATTGCATAAAATTATTTGTACATTTAATGGAAATATATTAAATTGTAATGTTTCAGGGCTCAACTAGTAAGCATTATGTTTCATTAGATATTATGTGTTGGTTATTGCATGGTGGTATTTGGAAAATACTCTAAGTTCTTGTACAGGGCAAAATAGTGAATGGGATAACTGAAGAGTCAGGCCCTATCTTATGGACAAAGATTCTCTGAAAAGGAATCTTTGTGTGAGGTCATCATTAGAAACCATAACTGTTTGAGTGGAAAATACTCTGTTGGACTGTTTGGAAGGAAAGAAACCAAAGAATTTTCTCTGAAAAAGAAAGAAGGAGGTTATCATAGAAACTATAACTGTTAGGGTGGTTCAGTGAGTCAAGACTACGAAGCTCTTTGAGGGGTTTACAGCAGGAGATATTTTTAGGAATTGGAAAGGTGTGGCCCTTTCAACTCCTCTTAAAGCTGTCCCTAATCCAGTTTGGTCCCCTCCGGCTGGTGGGTTCACCAAATTGAATTTTGATGGTAGCAGTGATGGAGATCCAGGGCCATCAGGTATTGGAGGAGTTTTCAGGGATGAGGGAGGAAGAATTATTGCCTTGTTTTCAGGCCCCATTGGAATTGGGGATTCCTTAAGAGCTGAAATCTTGGCAGTTTTGGAAGGGGTAAAGAGAGCAAGGGATTTGAATATAAAAAATCTGATGGTGGAGGGTGATTTGATGTTGGTTATTGGCTGGTTGAAGAAGGAAGGGATGGGATTCTGGAAATTTTTAAATGAAAAAAAGAAATTTAAACAGCTGACCCAGGACATGGAAATTAAGTTTCAATGGACTAAGAGAAGTGCAAACTCCTTTGCTGACTCACTTGCCAAAACCAGGGGTGGGAAGAGATAGTCTTTTTCGGGCAATGTTGTAACATGAATATCATTCTCAGGGAGGGTTAAGAGATTTTACCCCTCCCTCCTATCTTTTGTACTTTATGCTTTCATTTTATCATTAATAAAATTCTGTTAATTATCCAAAAGAAAAATCTTATGAACAAAGATGCTTCTCACTATAGGTTCTTTAGAAAACCTTTTCCCCAAATAAATATCTCATAAGGTTTCCATTATAGAGATTTTCATATTTTGGGGCTCACATGTTATAGGTGAATACACCTTGGAGATCTGAAGAGGAGAAAAATAAATGTTATATACTTATAGATGAATATCTTACAGCTGTACACATGTTAAATTTGGAAGTAGAAAAAAGTGGGTAGAAACTTGATTATAACTCTAAAAAATGTGCTTTTCACATGCAAAGGTACAAGAAACCTCTTCCAAGAGATGAGTAATCCTGCACTTGAATGCATGTAAATGCTCTCGTCCTTTAATTTCGTTTGTGGATGGAGAAGAACTATAAAAAACATAGCATTACAAGTTTGTAACTTAGCAGAACAGTGTGCACTTCTAGATATCTTATCCTTTAATTCCAAGATTTATGGTGGATTCAAATCAACATATCTATACTACTTATAAAAATGTGAATGAGGAGGTATTGGCTTCTGGATTTTTTTTTATTAAAATACCCTTTTTCTTGATTTTAGTTCATCTTCATTGAAAAGGGCAAAAAATGTAATTAAAAGAATACTATTAAGTACATTCAATTACCTCTCATTAAGTCTCACATTTAAGTCATTAAATAAATCACATTCTCTCTCATTGAATCCAACATTTATTCATTTGTTTATCATCATTAAATTCCATTAATAAAGTCATACACAATAATTATTAATAGAATGGAATTTTATATTTTTAAAATAAACGTAGAAATGAAACATATTTTTCATCTAGGTGGTGGGTAAAAGTAGTTCAACCATTTGAGCCAAATGGATAATTTCATGATGTCATAAATAAATAATACAAATTTAGAAGTATAAAAAATACTTTTATTTTATCATTATTAAATTCCACTAATAAATCCATACACAATAATTATTAATAGAATGTAATTTTATATTTTAAAATAAACCTAGAAATGAAATCATATTTTTCATCTAAGTTGTGGGTAAGTACTTCAACCATTTCAGTCAAATGGATAATTTAACGATTTCATAAATAAATAATACAAATTTAAAAATATAAAAAAATACAATAAAAGTATAGAAAAAATTTTGAAAAAATTGGGCACGTTTCTATTATTATATATTTTTCATATTAAAAAACTAAGTATGTTAAAATAAACATAATTTTATTATTAATGAACATCAAATATACAACTTAAAACCAATGGAAAATTAAACCATTATCCTATCAAGGGGGTGGGTTAGTGGTTCAATATTTCAGGTCAAATAGGTTAATCCATGATGTGTATTTAAAAATACTATTTTTAAAATAGAATAGTACAAAAAAATATGAAACGATTTTGGTCACATCTATAATATTATATACTAATAATATAAACAAAAATAAGTATGATAAGCAATATTTATTTTGTCAATGATATTAATGATGTCATAAATAAATAATACAAATTTAGAAATATAAAAAATACTTTTGTTTATCATCATTAAATTTCACTAATAAATCCAAACACAATAAATATTAATAGAATAAAATTTTATAATTTTAAAATAAACCTTGAAATGAAATCATATTTTCCATCTAGGTCATGGGTAAGTACTTCAACCATTTGGGCAAATGGATGATTTCATGATGTCATAAATAAATAATACAAATTTAGAAATATAAAAAATATAGAAAACAAGAAATTTTGAAAAAAATTGGACACATTTCTATTATTATATATTTGTCAATTAAAAAATAAGTATGATAAAATAGACATAATTTTATTAATGATGGACATCAAATATACAACTTAAAACCAATGGGAAATTAAACCATCTTCCCATTTAGGGGGTGGGTTAGTGGTTCAACCTTCAGGTCAAATAGCTTAACCCATGATATATAATTAAAAATAATTTTTTTAAAATAGAATGGTACAAAAACTATAAAACAATTTTGTACACATCTATAATATTATATACTAATAATATAAACAAAAATAAGTATGGTAAATAATAATTATTTTATCAATGATATAAATGAAATGCCAAATTTAAAACCAATTTGAAAATGAAACCATTTATGTATCTAGATGGTAGGTAAGTCAATGATCTAAGATTCTGGGTTAAATGGGTCAATTTATGATGCCATAACTAAGTAACGAATATTAAGTAAATAAATAAATACATACATTCATATATATATATATAATCTCAAAGAAAAATATAAGCTTTGTATAAAGCATTTTGATACAATTCTATTGTTATATATTCACCATATTAAACAAAATAAATGTGAAAATAAGAATTACTTTTATCGTTGACGAAAATGGAATACATGATTTAAAATTAACCGAAAAAGCAAATTATTTTTCCATCCAAGTGGTCTGGGTTAAACTATCCATGTCAAATGGATGAACACATGATGTTATTATTAAATAATAAAATACATAAAATTCTAGAAAATGTAAAGATTCATCGATAATTTTGGGTACATTCTATAATATTATATATTCATTATATAAAATGTGTGATTAATGAGAATTATTTTCGTCAATGATAGAAATGGGATAAAAATTAGGATAAAAAATAAAGAGCATTAATGTCTAATACAAGACCCTACTAATCATGTCAAATGGTTCAATAATTTAATTAGCTAAGTTATCGTAGGCAAGTGGTTTGGTAGGGATGGAAACATATTAGATCAGATTTGAATCAGGGTATATTCAAATCTGATCTGATACAAAGATTTGACTGGATCTCATAAATATTTATTCGAATCCGAATCTGGTCAAGATGTGGGATATACGAATTTGATATGATCTGATTTATTTTTTTTAAATAATAAATTATTATAAGAAAATGAAAATATAACAGCTGAAGTAAAAACAAAAAATAAAAGTATTTTTCAACTATTTCCATCATATAAAAACTTTACAAATATGCAATATAAATAACATATTTATAAATAAATAATAAATAGCATATATATTGTATAAATATTATATATAAATAATTGATTTGACCACGATATTAAAAACCAATGTTCAAACAATATATTGGAATCTCATTTCCTCTCGGTAAATAAGTAGTTTTTATTATCTCATAAATTAAATAATAAAAAATAAAATATAGATTTTTTATAAATTTTATAAAAAATTTAAACATACATTAATATTACATATTCTTCATATTAAACAAAAAATGTTTGAAAAAATAAGAATTATTGTTAGTAAAGATAGAAATGGCTAAAATACAAAGAAAAAAAATGAATTAATGTCTTAATCATAGTCCAATTTCTTGGTTAAATAGGTCCATTTTCCTGGTTAAATAGGTTAACGGTTCAACCAGTAAGGTCATTTGATTGCTGATTATTATCATCATCATCATTTGATAAGTAAATGCGAAAATAAGAATTACTTTTATTGATGATGAAAATGTAATACATTATTCAAAATCAACTGAAAAAAAATGGTTTTTCCATCCAAGTGGTGGGTTAGTGGTTCAACTGTTCATGTCAAATGGATCAACACATGATGTTATTATGAAATAATACACCACATAAAATTATAGAAAATGTAGAAATTTGTAGATGATTTAAGCTACATTATATAATTTTATATATTCTTCATA